AAACCAAAACATGGAAGTCCAAGGTTGTTAAAGCTAACGTGTATGTCACCTTGCATCAGATTTTAAATATTGAGCTTATATTCAAGAAAAATATGGCTTAACAATAATCAATTATTTTGCTGTGTCTGGTTTTTGTTGATTATTTTTAACAAAAAAACTAACAACAAAAAGCTAATTGATTTTTCAAATCACAGCACCTGCTGATTTATTATATAAACTTTCATAAGCAGCAAAAAAATGAAAAAAATTTACAATGTCTGATGTTCATAATTACTATCAAGTGTTTCATTTTGAATTTAATGCATAAACTACCTTCATCTTAGGACTTCTGGAATACCAGGAGGTAAAAGAAGTACAAGCTTTATATTATTTTAGTTGTTTTTAGATTAATTTCATCTTGATTAGTTTAATTCATTCAGTAATACACCTAATACTTTTGTTTTTATATCAAAATTAATATTTCCTTTTCAGAGTGAATATTTCTTGGAGAAATTAGAAAAGATACCACGCTTGCAGATACTAGTAAGTTAAAAATTAGTTTAATTGGTATATTTTTCTCTTATTTCTATATCTACGCAGACTTAGTACCTGTTTTTATTATAATAGGTTAAAAGCACATTAATTTGTATTTATTGGAAAAGAAGAGTGGTAACATTTGTGCTCTCCTCCCTCCAACTATGGAGTCCTGTTGCAGCACGTTTGTCAATGAGCAATCAAAGTAGCATAATGTTGTCTCTAATTTTGAATCTCTTACTATGAGGAAACAACTGGCCACCAGCAACATACTGCTATTTTTATACATGTTATTTAGTAATGTATTAATTAATTTATTGTTACTTTGTTTATTATTGTCATGTATAATTTTCCAATACAAATAACAGAAGATTTCACTTTTAATACAAAGAAATAGAGCTCCAGAATGTTCAACACTATATCAATGGGATAAAACCGAGCATAACATCAGAAACCTAGTGTATAATTGAAAAACTTAGCATATTAATCCAGTTTAACTTTTTATTGCATTCTAAAAATAACTTGAAATTAATTAGAATATTTAAAAGAAATTATAAAGAATATTAATATTTTTAACTATAATTATTGAGAACAAAGGCTGTAAAGACTTAACTAAGTACTTGAAACCAGATGACTCATATATTTTTTATTTAATATCATTTTTTCAAAGACTATGAAGTTGGGTATTTTTTGTAACAGTAATCTGGCCAGACGCTGTTTCTCTATTTTTCTGTCTTCCCAAGCATTAACAGTTTATGTATAGGTCTACTAATTACTGTATAAATATCTGATCAACACAATTAAATAGCCCTACTACTGGTTATCCTCTATTCACTTAAGAAAAAGGGTAAACAAACTTTAGTCTGTTAATTTTAATGCATATCAGAATTGTAAGTGTACAAAGCTGATTGGTGGCAGTGAAGTGAATCCAAAGAGTTGATTGATTACCAATTTATTGGTATTGTACTGTTGGTAAAGTTTCTCATAAGATTTGTCTACAGGGTACATGATAAGTAAACAAAAAGTTAATTGAGTCTTTGATAAGAAACCATTAATAATGATAACTGTTACTTGTTTGATAAACTGCTGATTTCAGTGGAAAGGTAATATCAATAAGTAAGTTTTGTTTCCTGTTTACCAAAAAATCAGTGACAGTTTCAGTTATTTTTCAGGGTAAGAATCGACTGAAATCAAAAGATGGAAACTTCTATACAGTGCAGGATATTGTTAGTAAATCAGTCAGCACCACTGTAAGTCTTTACTTTTATTTTTTATTTTTTTAAAGTGATGATAAAAATTTTGGATTCTTTCTTCCAGGAAATATGTTTTTGAAAAATAAATCAGACTTATAGAGAGCACTGAAATACATTCCAGGAAACAGTCTAAAGTGAACTTTAAAGTACTAAAAAAGAAAGAGGCCTCACACGTGTAGCCCAGTACCGGATTAATGCATAGGCTGACTAGTGCCCCGTCCATACAGAGGCCCCAACGGGCCACCCGAGTAAAAACATTATGGTTTGTAAAACTAGCAGAATAGAAGCAAGAGTGAGTTATTATTATTATTTCCAAATACTACCTGGACCTCGAAGCTCTACTAAACCTTAATCTGGCCCTGGTGTAACCGGCATGTACTGTTGTCAATGCACAAAGCACGGAGCTCGTTTGTGCTCTACATGTTACACCACCACAGAAATTTTATGGGATTTCCAGTTAAGGGATCATGCAAGCTTCTTCACATCAGTGTATGATTCACGAGTTATTTGACACGGAGCCCAGTTTTTAAAATTTTAATGTTCTGCTACCCATTGGCAAAGCAAATAGGCAATTGTGAAAAACTCTTTGATGAAATGTTTGAAATTAATATGTGTATACATACATATATATATAATCATGATGTTAGAAAAACATGTAGGTTCAGGAAATTAATTTAACACAAAAATAGGATATCTTATAACCCGACTGCTTTCGAAAGATGGACCTTTCTTCGTCAATGATTCCCAGTTTACCCCTGAAGAAGAAAGATCAACGTTTCAAAAAGTGCTCAGGTTATAGGGGATCATATTTTTATGTACATATACACATATATATTTGCATGTTTGTGTGTACATAGTTAAAGCTTGTTCCATGAGTACATGCTTTGCTACAATTTTTAGGCTATTTTAAGGAGATTTTCAGAGAAGACTAAGCTCATCAGTGATATCTTATGAACTAAAAAACTTACTTTTATTTCAGCTCTTATTTGATATACTTGCATCTGTCATCACCTTTCAGTATGTCCCAGAAGAGAAAAGTCAAGGTAAAATACTTTATTAAGTGTTTCTTAAGTTAGTGTAATTAACTGTTTTACACAGTGTTTCTACATGTTATCTAGAGTATTGGATATTGTAGTTATAGGTAATATTGTTTCTGACATTTGATTCACAAGTTTCTTGTACTCTAAAAGAAAGTGGGACAAATGTAAAATGGATAATTTTATCAACTTATGAGTTAACTCTCTCAACACGGGTTCGGTCAAATTGACTGACCACATGACCTCTCTGTACTCGTATGAAGTATTTATAGATTTGATATTACTAACTTTTAATATAGTATGTATATCTTCACAAAATTTGGCAGGCTTTCAGTAAACATTACAAGTCTTTCACATAAAAAAAATCCTTATTTTTTTTTCGAAGTATTTTAAATAAACTAAAAAAAAAAGAATTTGTCTGTGAAAATATTGAGTGTTTGTTTTGAGTAGTCTGTGTGAAAAGTGATTTTCATGTTAAGATTAAAAATATTTCATCTCAAAAATCTCAGATTTGACTTGTTTAATCTTTAAAACCACGTAAATACATTTCAGAAGATTGTTTTCAGTAAAACTTTATACAATAAACATATATCTAAAACATTTCTTAAGTTGTTTCTAGTGCATAAGTGCACTTTCAAAGCAGCTTAATCAGTTCTTCTACTTTAACTTTGTCTGAATCTGCACATCGTTGTTAAGTAGACATCATTTAAGTCGTCTTCCGTTATTACTGTAACATACCCAAGGAATAAACTGTTAAATGTTTAGAATATTGATGAAGATTTATAGATTCCTACAAAAACTTTTATGTTCTTTTATTTCATGCCTTTTATTGTGTTTGTGAGTAATATTTTGTTCAATATTACACAGATCAAGAAGAACTTTCCCAGCTTGCTAAAAATCCTGATTATTACAACAATCTGAATTCATGGGTGAGCTGATTTGACTTTTAAGATTCTTTACTTTTTTCTCTTCATCGTTTTGTTATTTGTTATATATATATTGCTTTTCACACTGTGTAAGTAGACTTTTTGATTCCTATAGTTGCAGCTTGGCTGATTAATTGTAACATTAAACAAAAGTCGTCCTAAGCAGTGATGCCATTTCAAACACCTCTCACTTTAGTGAAGTAGAATTAATTTTTTCTATATTAATTGAATTTCTGTTGTATTATTTAAAAAGTTCATTAGACAGGACTGGAAGTATGTTTTTATTTCAAACAGCAAGTCTGTAGATCAGTGTGAAGGTGATGCATACCTAACATGTTTTTTTACAATGCACTAAATGTTAAAAACTAAACTTAAAATAATAACAACTATTATAGTTACAGCTATACTGCTTTGATATTGTCATAATAATTCTTGTTACTGTTTTACTGCCAATTTATATGGTTACTACTAATTACTACTAATAAAAGACAGTTTAGGTAGTACTTTTGTATTACAATCTCTCCAAGGTGGTGTAGAGGATTTAAACTAAACATGATACAATTCCCAGGTGTTAAGCTAAAAGCTTGCTACTTTACTGCTATGTACTTATCTTTAGTTCCAGATATTCCTGAAGGTAAACTCAGATGTGGATGAAACAAATCAGTCTTTTTTTTGTAATATCATACATTGTAGCTGTAGAAGGAAAGGCTATCTAACAATTTCAACTAATCTTAAGTTAATAGGGTAGTTGTTCAGCACATTTTTACTTCATGATGTGATTGTTATTATAATGGGGCATGTGGTATTAAAATATTGTTTTTTTTACATGATTTTTTTTTAGTTGGGGTTAGTGGTTCTACGAGACATTCCAACAATTCACCTTGATATTTTAGATCTTGAACAACACGGTGTGGCTTTGCGGTTCTGCCCCCTTGAATCTGCCCATGGTGGGTGTTAGATAAAACTACTGTGTTATGTGTTTCTATTAAAACATTAGAAATTCTGAAGTTTAAATTCTATGCTTTATATTTGATTTAATTTGGTAATATTGTTGTTCAGTTGCATTATTCGGGTTATACATAAGGTATTTATAAAAGCAATGGTCATATACTTTAAACATATTTCAGGTTGACATTTCTTGTGAGATATATAAGGTACTGAATAACATCAAATATGAAAGTTTGTAACAGTGTTTTAATAACTGTTCATAATTTGGAAATGTTTGCACTCTGTTTTTGAACACAAATGATTTGACAGATTAATCCTTAAACTAATTATATGGACAAATTTAACAATTACTCTCTTGACAAATATTTTTTTAGTTTGTAGGACATTGTATTTGTATTTGCACTGGAATTTAGTGTTACAGATTCAGTGGGAAGCAAAAGCTTTGTATAGTCTATAAGTATTTATATGTAATATTTAAAATATTCTAAGCTATAAAATGGTTTATAAGTTTCATTTTTTGTTTCAGTGACACAGATGACAAAAGAAGATATTGATGAGCTGTACAATTGTCTTCAGCAACAAGTGGTAAAAGAAAGCTTTAAGTTTTCGTTTATAAAAATCTGTGAAAAAATCCGTTTATTAGATGTAGGGTTCATGTTGATGAAATATTAGAAAAGTCTATTATACATAAGAATAACAAAATAAGCAATCATTACAGGTGAATTTTGGTTTGAATAAAATTCAATAATGATTTTGTAAATTTGATTTAGTCATTACATTTTGTAAACAAATCCCATTTCTCTAAAACTAGTGATGGTTTTTCCATAAATATATATATATATATGTTTTACATTATATTAGATTGTGAATGAAGCAAACTTCCCAAATTGTTTTTCAGGCAATTTTAAATGCCACAGTTCGTCAGAAAGACACCTTCACAAAACTCTTAGCATGCCATGAAAATTTGCAGCTGGTAAGCCCAGTTAGCTATTTCTACCTTACACCACCAAGGCCTGTTCTATAATGTTTGTGTGTTGATAGTACCTATTGTAGAAATAGCTAACTGGGCTGACCTTTGTGGTGTAAGGTATGTTCTATAATGTTTGTGTGTTGATAGTACCTATTGTAGAAATAGCTAA